CCCTAAATTTTCAGATCTCTAGTCCTTATTATAGGAGAGATATATAGGTTCGTATGATAGACAAACTTTTTTTCGATGCCCCAGAATCAAAATAGCGAGAAGTTACATAAAATAATAAGAGAAAAACTTAAAAGAAACGCATCAGAATGAGGAAATATTAAGAGAATTATAATGAATCGAATTATTTTTCAAGATTAATTAGATGTCTATAGTATATTTATTTGAATATCTTTAACTCTGACTGGATGTAACGGGTGGCCCATAATAATTGACCCTCTCAGTATTTTGCATATTTCTCACTTATAATTCAGCTTAGAAAAAAAACATTTTTTATAGAAAGATTCCTTGTCAAATTCTCTACAAAACGTAGATATTTTTATTATCTTAAATAATTTCCATTATTTTGTAACATGCGATACAATCGATTGGTCAAAGAAGCACAACTTTCAACCAAGAAGTTTCTAGCAGATGGTTTCATGAGAAGTCAATCAAAAAGCAACGCAAAGTGTTCAGAAAAAATTTCTTGCATATGAGTTTTTGTAGAGCTTTTTTCGCTGATTCTTTTGGTACAAAAATGCCTTTGAATTCCATTTATAAATGACAATGTTATAGTCGAAATACTAAACAAGCTTGAAATGCAACTTCGTCTGGTGAGTAATATGAAAAGTCAATTAGTATATCTCAAAACGGTTGTATTGTGGAGATATATGAGATAGTAAGTTTTGTAGAGGAAAATCTGCTCTACAAAACCCTGTAGGCGATTTTTCAGATACACTGGAATATTATGAATAAATTCCGTTAGAACATTGTAAAGAGTATCTTCCCTAAAAACAGAAGGTATCATTTCTTTGATCCTATACAATCTTCCATCGAGATTTCTTCAGAGTATTTAAATGTATTTGAGAATCCGACTATAGTGTGTTGTAGAGCAAACTTTCGCCTACAAAACCTATTGAGCTACATTCCTTCATAGCACAGCAGATTTGAGACATGCTAATCCTACGAAAAACTTCTTGTTTGAAAGTTGTGCTTCTTTGATCAATCGATTGTATCGCATGTTACAAAATAATGGAAATTATTTAAGATAATAAAAATATCTACGTTTCGTAGAGAATTTGACAAGGAATCTTTCTATAAAAAATGTTTTTTTTCTAAGCTGAATTATAAGTGAGAAATATGCAAAATACTGAGAGAGTCATTTATTATGGGCCACCCGTTATATTAATATATGACCATTGCCCATCATTCATTTTCGACAAATCTTTTTCAACAATTTCTCGTTTTTCGATTGTTTTTTCGGCATTTAATTTTTTGGTGTTTTTATTTAATTGCATCCATTTTACTACATATTAATGTTCCGAAAATATAAAAAACTTAGACAAGAAATTTTAACTTTGCATGATTTACACCAAAAGTGGTCATCAAGTGATATTGCTAATGAATTAATAAACAGTGATTGTCCACCACCTCAAACAAGAAATACCCTTATTTGTTATATAAAGTACACAATAGAAAGGGGCACAATGATAGCAAGAAGAAGATCAGGAAGACCAAGAACAACAAGAACACCAAGATTTATATCGTTAGTTAAGTCCAACATGGAGAACAAGCGAGGAAAATCTATCCGAAAAACAAATCAATTATTGAAAAGAAATCAATTAAATTCTTCTTATAAGGTTGAGCAAAAAGTTCGTGGTCAGATCACGTTATTTGTGAACACAGAACTCCTGTATTTTACATGGTAGCATTCCAATTTGGATTATCGCAGCATCAGCGTACAGATCCTCTTAGCACCCCAGCTTCGATCCTCCGAGCATCGCGGTTCAGATGCTTGTAGCTTTCATGTCTCAATCTAGCTAGCATCCCAGTTTTCAGTCTTATAGCATTCCAGTTAAGATCGTCCTACCATCCTAATTTTGATCATCCTAACATTCCTATTTAGATTTCGCTGGTATCACTTTGTAGATCCACTTAGTAATTCAGTATAAATGATCCCAGCATATCATGTGGATTTTCCAAGCTCCCTGAATTCAGTTTCTCCTAACATTCTAGTTTAGATCTTGTTAGCATCCTTTAGATCCTTGTAGCATGCTGTGAAATTTCTAGAGGATCTCGTTCAGATTTTTGTGAGATTTCATTCAGCTCCTAGCAGGATTCAGTGAAGATCCAGTCACAATTGGCTTTATATTCACTCATCATTCTCATCAGTTGCTGCTAGTAGTATCTGCAGACTCCTTTGCGACTGTCTTCTGACTCAGTTAGAATTCGTTCAGATCCTCTGCAGATTTTCTTCGGATCTCCCTCAGATGCTCATGATTCTTCTCCAGAGATTTGAAGCACTGTAAAAAATAGGCGTAGAATAATAAACCCTTCAAAAGGGTTTATTAGCCTTATAAACACTTTCATATACCCTTTTAGTATCATAAACCCTTTCATATATCCTTTTCCTTCATAAACCCTAGGAAAGGTATATTACAGCTCATACACCCTAAAGGGTTTATGAAAGTGCAACGAATAATATACCCTTCCTAGGGTTTATGAAGGAAAAGGGTATATGAAAAGGTTTATGACACTAAAAGGGTATATGAAAGCGTTTATAAGGCTAATAAACCCTTTTGAAGGGTTTATTATTCTACGCCTATTTTTTACAGTGAGTATGGATGTGGGTGTGGGTGTGCATCAAGGGAGAAACAGCGTACTTTTGGACTTGAAGCTACTTCGAGTTACTTGAAGTTACTTTGAGCTACTTGAACCATACTTAAAGCTACTTGAAGTATACTTGAAGTTACTTTCAACTACTTCAAAGATAATTTCTAGCTACTTTGCTTTACTTTGGACTACTTGACCGGTACTTCAAACTACTTTAAACTACTTTGAGCTATTTCAACTACTTTGGATTACTTCGTGCAACTTTTAATTACTTAAAGTTTTCATGATATAGATCTAAAGGTCAATTTTCAATGTTATCAGTTTAACTGTTTTAATGTTTTGCTTGCTCTCAGCATAACATTGAAAAACTACATGATATAAGACAAAAAGACGGGGCTCTAGTATTATGATTTCGATTACTTTATAAAACCGAAATCATCATATTGTTTCATCATATTAACATGATTTTCTTTACGTAATAGTCCTTATTCTAACCTACTCATATTAGCTCGATCAGTTTCACGGTTTTTGCACCATTTTCATAAGATTATTTTATGATTTTTGAAAACTACAATCACAATGTCGCATTGATTACTGTTGCATAATATTATTTTCATTGCTTTGATTATTTTGCAAAAAAAAAACGGCTAATTAACTTTACTAATGTACTCTTTATATGATGCAGTCACTCTCCATCATGTTTCAAATGATTCAAAATTAATACCTCTTTTCGAAGAAAAATGGTGTTAGTCAATGACATTGATGCGAAATACGTCATATATCACGAGTTTCTCTTCAGAATAAAAAGACGAAAATAATTAATTTGAACTTCTTTGCATACTGCTCCTTGCACATATCACCCTCTGGATAAATAGAATGTTTTAGTACACTAAAGGTTTAGCTGTGGCAATGCATAGAAGTCTTGATGATGGATGTCAAATTATACTTATTTTAAATGTAATATAGGAGTCAATTAAATTATCGGTAATTTATATTTGAAACAAACATAAATTAATTTTTTTCATCATTTCTATTCAAAGGAAAATATAAATTCTCATAGTTCATAGTTATTTAAAATGCAAATAAACTGATGATTCATATGTTTTTCTAAATCTAAATTGTCAAACAGTATTATTTCTATCGATTTTAAATTTACATCATCAATAATTTAAACTTAACTAGGAAAATAGTAAGGGTGGATGTATTTCTTTAGTGTAACGATAATGTGGAAGCGGATAGTGATAAATATATTGAGAATATACAGAATTTCTAAATTCTGTTTGTGAGAACTCTGCAAGGGGGAAACGGCGGACTTGAAGTAGAAAAGTACGCCAAAGTACGTCAAAGTAGACTACTTGAAGTAGCTCAAAGTACCACCCAAGTAGTCCAAAGTAGGAACAAGTAGCTTAAAGTAACTTCAAGTAACTTCAGGTAAATTTGAAGTTGAAAAGTACTTCAAAGTAAGCTACTTCAAGTAGCTGAAAGTAACTTGAGGTAGCTTAAAGTAGCTCAAAGTAACTTCAAGTCCAAAAGTCCGCCGTTTCCCCCTTGGAACTCTGCCATTCCTCCATCTCAGGGGATATTTTCAAGTACTTGAGATTACTTCTCGATACTTTGATGTACTTGGAAGTACTTCTCGATACTTTAAAGTTACTTAAAAGTACTTTGTGATACTTTAATGATACTTAAAAGTACTTTGCGATACTTTAACGGTACTTAAAAGTACTTTGAAATACTTTAACAGTACTTGACAGTACTTTGCCGTACTTTACATGTACTTGGAGCTACTTCTCTATACTTTGTCCAACTTCAAAGTAACTTCAAATTACTTTTGTACTTTAGTCTACTTTTCTACTTCAAGTACGCTGTTTCCCCCTTGGTGTGCATAATTGGGTGGCGATGTGTATAATTGGATGTGGATGTGTATAATTGGGTGTGGGTGTGTCTATCCTTCCCCCTGCCCTTCGATTAACAAATACACTCACATCCACACCCCTGCTAGATCCACCAACAAAAGAATTTTGTTTCTCTTTTTCTTGTGATATCCATTACAAGAAGGACGATGTGCAAAGAGATTTGCTTCGAAGGCGAATATCTCATTTCTTATAGCATGTTCCTTACGAGAAAGATATCTTCGACAATGATGATTCCTTTTCTTTTTCTTCTTCATTATAGTGATTCCTAATATTCCAGTCAATGCCCGGTGGGCACAGAATGGTATGACTGTTGCTGGAGGCTATGGACGGGGCAATGCTACCAATCAACTCTGGTACCCTACAGGTCTCTTTGTTGATGATGATCAAACGATTATCATCGCTGATTACTCGAATCATCACATCATCCAATGGAAGATGGGTGCTACGCATGGACAAGTGGTAGCTGGTGGTCATGACCAAGGAGATCGATTGGATCAATTGAATGGTCCATTCGATGTGTTGATCGATAAAGAGATGGATAGTCTCATTATTTGTGATCGAGACAACCGACGAGTCGTACGATGGTCTCGTCGAAGTGATACAACACAAGGAGAAATCGTCCTCGACAACATCACTTGTCGAGGATTGGCCATGGATGAACAGAGATATCTCTACATCTCTGACACGGAAAAACATGAAGTAAGACGATATCAAATAGGAGACAAGAACGGAACTATCGTGGCTGGTGGCAATGGACGGGGTGATGGTCTCAATCAACTCAACTCTCCGACCTACATCTTTGTCGATCGAGAACAGACTGTCTACGTGTCAGACAACAACAATCCTCGTGTGATCAAATGGAATAAAGGTGCAAAAGAAGGAATTGTCGTCGCTGGAGGTCAAGGTAAAGGGAATGCTCTGACACAATTGTCGCGTCCTTTGGGACTATTCGTCGATACTTCGAGTACCGTCTATGTGGCAGACTCGGAGAATCATCGAGTGATGCGTTGGCCTAAAGGAGCGACACAAGGCACCGTCATTGTGGGTGGAAACGGTCAAGGAGCAGCAGCAAATCAGTTCTACCTTCTCGAGGGTTTGTCCTTCGATCGACATGGCAATCTCTATGTCGCCGATATAGGGAACTATCGTGTTCAACGATTTTCTATTGAATAGACTTAAAACGCTGATTAAGTTTTTTTGCTCTTTCTCTTTTCTCTCTCAAATAAAACGCAATTGAATGAAAAATGGGCTCATAGCTATTCTATTCGCGCACCTGACCAGGAACCATCCTGGTGGAGCCATGGCGATCATCAAAGAGTGGGTGTGGGTGTAGGGTATAGATGTGGGGTGTAGCGTGTGGCGTGTGGCGTGTGGGGGTGGGGATAGGGATGGGGTACGAGTATGTGTTTAGAGAAGACTCGGACTCAGACTCACACCTACACCCGCACACCACACCCACACACACACACACACACCCATACCCTTTACTATGCCTTTAAAAGCTGCAAAGATGCATAGATTGGAAACGTAAGGCAGCATCTTTTAATGAAATCATAATAGCAATTCTACATCAAATATATAGGATTTCAAGGTGCGAACCACTTCGATATCTTGTAGATTTGAAAGATGTTGTCTAAACGTTCCCAATCTGTGTGTCTTTGCAATTTTTGAAGGTATACTAAGAGCTATCTCTGCACACAAGATGGCTTCGGTGTCTGTTCGAACAATAGAGAGAACGGGTACAAATTAGTGAGACTTTCTTATAATTATCGAATAGAACCGATTTCAGTAGTATACTCACTCTTATCCTTTGCATGTAAGTCATGAATAGTCGAAAACGCCCCGTGGTAACGACAAAAAAGGCACTCAATTCATAACTATTATCATAAAATTTGAAAATGTCGCACTATTCCCTATCACTTTCTTCGTTCTTATACGTTTAGACATAATCAAAAGTCAACATATACTGTATTAGCTGACAATGTAGTTAGAAAAGTAGATTTCTAAACCGACAAGAACACATATCAACAAAAAATTCATTTTATTTCATTCAATGTTGCTTTCGATAGAGTAAATATAAATTCTTTGAGTAATGCTGCCGTTTCATGTACTATTCAGATATTCTGCTTGTATAGAAAAACTGTTTTCATACTTAACATGAAAATATTTGTCGATTTTTGTCACTTCTGGTCGGTATTGAAACCCATCAGATCTAGACCGTTGACATTTTTCCGACGAATTCTAACACCTTGAGGCCTTCCTTGAGGGAATTTGCCAGTACAGCGGCTAGTTGCTCGTCGGTACTCCTTCAAGCACCACTCATGGCTAGCCCCTGCCATATGTAATTCCAGCCTTCCATAAGATCATCCTCTTTGATTTACACTCTATCAAATTCCAGGCTGCTCTTACTTCGAAAAATCGTTAGATTTACAACACGAGAAATCTTGATGGACAATCGCAAACCTATACTTTGTCATAAACTATTCCTTAGTTCTTCAACCTAATGTCTAGCCGAATAGTCAGAGTTTTATTAGAATTCCTGATTAAGGAACTTTGAATGCAATATTCTCAATAAACATAGCTTTCACATAGATCTTTTCTGAATTGTATGAAAAAGGTTAGCAAGACCAACCGAAACAATTCCAAATTCATAGGTAAATGATTTTGAATCAATTCTGAATTCACGCTTCTTCTGTTGGATGGCAATTTTTTTAATTTTTAATTTTTACAATACAGTATAATCTCACATGGAACTTACAAGGAAACTTGTTCAGTTACTTTCCTATTGAAATTGGACTAAACTAGAATTTGTATTATGTCTATTTTCTAGACACTCCATGTTTTCAGAAAGCTCATCTTTTCGAAATTTGGTCTGAAACTTGATGCGAACAGAGAACTCGATTAGAGAAGGCTTCATTCAAAAATTCACAAGTTTCGAACAAAGTCTCTTCGAGATATGAGATTTTCAAGTTATAGACCTTTTCCCAGCGATAGTGTATCTAAAACGTACATTTTTTTTTGAAAGTTTCATATAGCGAAGAGACTTTGTTCAAAACTTTAAAAATCTTTTTTATCGAAATCAGTTTAATTGAACTCCCTTTATGTACAAAGTTTCAAAACAAAATTCGAAAAAATGAGTTTTCCGAAAACCTGTGACCTCTGGAAAATAGACATATTAAAAACTCGATAGTTTTGTCATATCTCAAAATGAAGCGAAATTCTTTTAGGGTTTGTATCAAAACTATATCATAGCTTCGTCATTTATCATTAATGATATGCATAAAGTTCCTTTTACATGTCTTCAACCTTGAAAGCAATTTCCAGGTGGTGTCATAACCTCATATGGTACATGTGGTAAGTGATCTAATGCAGTTTTAACAGTTAAATGTATGAAATCATCAGCATAACATTTAAAATCACTTCGGCACGTAGTATCATAATCCAAAAGTGTATGAAGTTCTCGAAATTTATTATTTGTTGTCATAAGATGCACATTTTCAAGATATTGATTATCATATATTTCTTTATTCATACTATTCTTTTCTGTTAAATGATTGACATTATTTTCTACAGTAGTTATCTAAAAAAGAATTAAATACAAAATAAATAAGTTTCCAATTTGTTCAATAAAATGAATTTTTGAAATAAACAATATGATGTAAATTTTGCTTTTGAATGAATACGAAAATATAATGTGAAGCAAAAAAAAACAATTGATCAATGAAAACATACGTATGAGTATGCTTGCCTATTTTGCACTCACGATTGACTGTGACAGCAAAACATATGAGGGAAGAAAGAAAAATGAAATAGTTCAAGATAGAAATTTTTTTACTTATCTCGTCCGCGTAAGTTATCATTCAATTTTATCATTAATGATCAATGATAACAGGGCATAATTAATGGACGACATGTCTTTTGAGCACCAAAAAAAAAGACAAATGAGCACCTAATTAGTTATATGTGAAAAGAGCACCGAAAAATAAGACAAATGAGCACCAAATTTATTACATGTGAAATGAGCACCAAAAATAAGACAATTGAGCACCAAATTCAAACATATGACATAAGAACAACAAATTTGTACATTAATAACAAAAAAAACAAATAGGATACATAATAGATATGCGTACGAAATCAATATACAAAAAAAAATGAAAAGCCCATTTTATAATAATAAAACAGATCATACTTTTTTTGTTCAACCTTTTCCTCGTCGTTTACCTAAAAGTTCCGAACGAGTTTTATCAGTTAATTCATAATGTTTCAGTAATATTGCTAAGCCAACTGAATGTTTGTATAAATATAACTTCGTGCCAGTTGGACATGTACATGATTTGAGTGGAGAAACTAGAAAGCAGGGTGTGGTGTAGGTGTAAGTGTAAGTAGCGGATCTACTCGTGCACCCATATCCACACCCACACCCTTGATTAGCTCTATCGAGCGTTTAGACGATATTCAAAAGTTGATATTCTTTGTGTCACATTTTTTGATTCTTCACAGAAATGTATATTATTATAATTTTCAAGCTTGTCGTATATATACAGCGTTACTCATTTGTGTACCATAATTTACAAAAAGGAATGAGATTATACAATTTGAGTTGAGCTCGTCACAACTTAGCATCTGTATATATTCGAATAATACTTTGATTCTTTTAAAATAGAATTGATTTATCTCTTTAATATCTTTTTTTTCATTTGGTGCTCAACTGTCTTATTTTTTGGTGCTCATTTCACATGTAATAAATTTGGTGCTCATTTGTCTTATTTTTCGGTGCTCTTTTCACACTTAACTAGTTTGGTGCTCATTTATCTTATTTTTTGGTGCTCTTTTCACATATAACTAATTAGGTGCTCAATTGTCTTTTTTTTGGTGCTCAAAAGACATTTTTTCCTAATTAATGTGTATATCAATTAAGTTATATCCATACACATATATTGAGATATTTGTGATTGAATTTATTTCAATGTATGTGTGTGTCCCGATCATAGCTTAATTAATCACGTCTTTTAATCACTCTCCGACGAGAAAAAATGATCGAATTTTTCTTCCAAAAAAAAACGATTTTTTGGGATATAAATATGAATGATTTTCTATGTAAAATCATTCAATTTATTGAATCACACAATAATCTTTTCGTTTTATATTTTAGATTAATTTCTACGACACAATACGGAACAATTCAACAGCAAACAAAACAACAATAATAAAATGTAGGCATTCGTTTTAGTTTTTTTTTTCTTTTTCTTTTCCCAATCATATGGAGGATGGCAAGTCCTCCTTTTGATGGGTATTTGTAAAACAAGCGAACACCCACGAACACCCACGAACATCCCCAAACCGAGATCTGATATTCTCAGCAGATAGAGCTTGCCGAGTTGACTCCACGAACACCCACGAACACCCAAAACGATGGAGCATTAGAAAAA